GCTGTTCCGATTCGCATGAACGGTATACGAGCGGAGCGACTGAGCGGAGTGCAAACGCATAGAGTGGGATAATACGCAGAGCGTCACACCACGTGAAAGTGAAACCTGAGCGGTGAACTAATTTTCGGCAGCCGAAATTTCAGTGCATCTCTAATTATTGGCGACATCAGAAATGGATATTATATAATAGATGCTTTTTTGAACATTTTAGCAATTTAAAAATATAAAAAAATGATTTTTTTTTTTTTACACGGCACCCCTGCTCTCGACAGACGGCACACCGGTTGGGAAACACTGATTTAGTCAACCTCATGTCATTCCAAAACCTGAAAGACCTTCCTTCTTCTGTGGAACACACACGCACAACGATATTTTGAAGAATGTTACCAAACAGTTTCGGTTCCCTTTTGACTTCCGTTATGTTTATACAATGGAAATAAATGGTAACCCAAACTGTTTGGTTACCAACATTCTTCAAAAGTCTTCCACAAATGAAAGTCACACAGGTTTGAAATGACATGAGGGTGAGTAAATGACATGTTTTTGCTGTAAATATAAAAAAAAAACTTCTTTATTAAAATCAGCTGTAGGCATGAGGCCACAGATAATAAAGGTTGTGCTGATATTTCAAACAGCATTATGATTGCGAGTCAGAGATTTTGAATAAATCAGACTCATTCATAATACATAAAAAAACTGTCAATGTTATGAACAATGTTATAAAATTGGAAATATTTCAATATATTGTGTATCACAAACCACAATTAGTTGATCATTTTTATTTTATTAAATCTGAAATCAAAAAATGTATTTTTAGTTTAGTTTTTTCAATTAAGGTTAGAGTTTTTCAGTTAATGAAAATTTTTCATTTCATTTTTAGTTTACAATATTAGCACTATTCAGAAGTCTGCTAACTGTGCTTTTAGAGATTTTAAACAATAAAATGAATTGTCTACAAAAGCAAGTATCCACCTTATTTTTCATTTGTTAATGCAATGTGTCTGACTTCCGGTGTCATCCACTATTTTTAGCTGTACAAAACTGCTGTTTTTTTTCAAACTGGTGTTTCTTACCATATTATTTTAATATGTTGTCTTAATAAACACACCGGGTTGAAGCACAAACAATTTTACCGTTTACTGCACTTTGTTATTCTTCTCCTTATTTCCCTACCATGGCTAATGAAGCAGAAGTCTCAGAAGCACATTCATAGAAAACAGCTTATTTCCGCAAAATAAGGTGGATAGAGTGCAACAGTGCCCACCCACTTTTTTGGCTGCCTTGGTTCCGGAAGTATTTTTCCCATAGGGTTTTTTTTTTTTACTTTAAGAATTATAAACCACAAATTAAAACACCAGCATGGTGAAACACAAAATTACAAACTTTTATTTGAAAAAAAAAAAAAAAAAAAAAGAAGTATTTTGAAAATCAGTCTAAAAGAATGTGGACGTAATGGCTTTAATGTAAGAAAGAACTACATTCCATGAAGCATTGTGAATGACATAAATGGATTACAATAGAGAAATATAAAAATATTGATTTAAATGTTGATTTTACATACTGAAACACTACATTTTAAGTTTATTGCAAAATATGCATATTATGCATACAAATATCTAGTGGTCGACTGATATATCGCTGCATATATCACTGATATTTGGATTTTTTAAAATATCAACCCTCTACGCACACCTTGGCAATATAATCGCCATTGGCTAGTAAATTTTTTTGTTTACTCGCCAGACTGTTATACTATTTTACACACACACACACACACACACACACACACATTTACTTAGCTATACACACACACACACACACATGATTCCACCCAATCAGCTTATCTTTGTAAAATGGAACAGCTTCTTAAATAACTGAATGTGGACTCTTAACTTCAGCCAATCAAGCATTATATTATGATATTATGATAATCACTATTTAATGATAGAACTAGTGATTAGAGCTAAAACTTGGTAACCATGAATGAATGCATATTTGTCATTTTAACTGAACTTAGGACTGGTGGTGGTGTTTAAGATATTGTTGGTCATAGGTAATAGTAATTATTATTAAAAGATACTACTACTACTATTATTATCTGCTGGGTTCATGAATATTAATCATGGTGTCAGTGTTCGCTTGAACTGATTTGCTGAAATCAAAACAGGGACGGTAATAGATGAGTGCCAACCAACGAGAGCATTAGCTCCGCCCACTGCCGAGAAACCGGCATATCTTCTGCTTGTTCTTAAAAGCTGAATAATTCTAAATGAACTCTGTTATTTTGACAGGAAAATACAACAAAGAATATGGTTTACATGTAGCGCGTCGATTCAGCGTGGTATGCAAGACTCTCGCTCTCTCTCTTTGCATGTGTGAGAAACACAGCGCTATCAGTAAAGCGACGGCGAGTCGTGCGCCTTCACACTAGTTTACGGTACGTCAAATACAGGTGCGCTGCGTGCTACATACTGCGCATCGATTGAGTACATGACATGATCCATTGAGCGCATCCAAATAGTACAGATCGCTTGAAGAAGAGCGAAACTCTCAAGCACTCAGTCAGAGTGTTTATCGAGTGAAAATCTGTGTTGAACGCCTCTCACACACATACTGGCGTGTAAAATCTAAGAATTTATTTGCTAATGGCTAATGTTAGACATTATTTAGTCGCCCAGAGTAAGATTTAGTCACATTTGCGAGTGATTTACTCGCAATGTAGAGGGTTAAATATCGGCCTCGGCCGATAAGTCTTTCCGTGTGGCCGATGTTTTTCAA